TCATATGAAATTAAACCCCCTCAATAAAGAATTCCAATTTGATTTCTTTATATAATAGATTGGATTCTTTTCTCTCGCTCTCCGTCTTTCCCCTCTTTGCCCTTTCATTGCGCCGCGACGCAGCGAGAGAGAGAGAGAGAGAGAGAGAGATATAGAGAGATCCATTTATAATAACAAGGATTCGAGAACGAGGGCGACCCGCGGTGTGCGAAGAGCCTCTCTTTCCATCAATCGCCAACGAATTCGGGTGATTCTTGCTGTAATGGGGAGAATCTAGCAGAGGATAGGGGATAATTGGTGGAAAGATTGCATCTTGCGTTGGATTCGTGGGGGAATAAGTTCCTTAGTCGTTGTTACTTAGGTATGTAGTCTAAACTTGTTCCTTTTATGTGGAGTGGAGAGTTTTGGAGAAGAGAGACGCGAGGATTGAGATTTCATTTTGGTGAATGACATGGATTTTGGATTTTGTAGGGTTTCGGGCCAGTAGGGTTTGAGTTGAGGAAGAAGTCGAGTTGTAATTGTTCTTCTGATCGGATTTTCTTCTTGGAGATCTCAGCGGAGTGGAGACTGGGTTTTTGCAGTCGCTTCGACTTCGAGGAGGCGGTTTTGGGAAGAAGAAGAATTTTTCTTTGCTGCTCCATTCTGTATCTGAAATTTCTGTTCTTTTTCCAGTCGCACCAGTTCTTCTCAGAGCATCGTGAGCGGTCAGTCGTCAAGTCTGACACCATAGAGCTTGAGGTTTTTTCCGTCTCATTTCTGTATCAAAAGCCCACCTTGCAGTCTTGTGTGCGCGTTCATGCTGTATCAGTGTTTTCTCTCCTTGTTTCAGGAAGCCTAGTAAAGGAAGGAGTCTTGTGTCGGGAGGAGATGAGGAATTGGCTTGATTGAAAGGTGAGAATTTTCTTAGGAATTCCTTCTTCTTGGGTGATATCCTTTCCAATTTTACTAGCAGAAAAGTGTCTCTTCTCACAGCATCCTCCGAGGACTAGGTAGAGTTGTTCCCTACCACTTGCTTTTGGCAAATCCATGAAAGAACCACCTATGAAGGACAACGACAAATGCCTGGACTCTCAGCTCTGGCACGCCTGCGCTGGCGGAATGGTTCAGATGCCGGCCGTGAACTCCAAGGTCTACTACTTCCCCCAGGGTCATGCCGAGCATGCCCAGTCAGCCGTGGACTTTGGGACTTCGCCACGGATACCACCACTCATCCTCTGCAGGGTGACTGCAGTCAAGTTCAGGGCTGATAAAGAGACAGATGAGGTCTTTGCCAAGATCCAGATGGTTCCCATCAGTAACAGCGAGTCTGACTATGGCGAAGGTGATGGTTTGGGTCTTAGTATGAACGAATTTGATGCACAAGAAAAGCCTGCATCTTTTGCCAAGACACTGACCCAATCGGATGCCAACAATGGTGGTGGATTCTCTGTCCCTCGCTACTGCGCTGAGACCATCTTCCCCAGGTTGGATTACTCCACGGACCCCCCTGTGCAGACCGTGATTGCAAAGGATGTACATGGTGAGGTTTGGAAGTTTAGGCATATATACAGGGGCACACCACGGCGGCACCTGCTCACCACTGGCTGGAGTATCTTTGTAAACCAGAAGAAGCTGGTGGCCGGGGATTCAATTGTGTTCCTTAGAGCAGAGAATGGGGATCTCTGCATCGGCATCCGGCGTGCCAAAAGAGGTGGGTTTGGTGATGGTCCTGAGACTCTAGGATGGAATTCACCAAGCGAAAGCGCTATCTCTGGCTATGACAGCTTCTCTGCCTTTCTGAGGGAGGAGGAGAGCAAATTGATGAGAGGTACTGGTGGGAATTTTGCCTCCAGCGGGGGTATGAGAGGAAGGGGGCGAGTGAGAGCAGATGCTGTCGTTGGGACAGCATCACTAGCAGCTAGTGGACAGCCGTTTGAGGTTGTGTACTACCCGAGAGCCGGTACACCTGAGTTTTGTGTAAAGGCTGTAGCTGTGAGAGCAGCGATGAGGATCCAGTGGTGTCCAGGGATGAGATTTAAGATGGCTTTTGAGACTGAGGACTCATCTAGAATTAGCTGGTTCATGGGGACTATATCTTCAGTTCAGGTTTCAGATCCTGTAAGATGGCCTATTTCACCATGGAGACTTCTTCAGGTAACTTTTTATGCAGCATGCATGCTTGTTATGAATTTGTTTCTTCTTTGTATCTCCATTCAGTTTCACATTCATTTTGTTTTTCTTTGCTTAGTTGTCTAAGAAAGATATACTATAACTGACAAAATGCGTATTTTTCGATAAAGATATAGTGAAGAAATTCTTAAGGGATATCTTGGGATATCCTTTTCTTATTAAGATGCAATTGTCCATAACTCTTGAAGTTCTTAATTGTGTTGACTAGAATAAAATTTTATTTTCCTTTGTATTGATTATTGAACCCATTTCTTGTCTATAATTTTGTTGTTCTATATAATCTATGATATAGCGGTGTTCCATTGTTGACAAAAGATTATTATCTTTTGTTTCATTTTCAATTCTACAGTCAGGAGGCAAATGATAGGGCTTTTATCCCTGGAAGTTGGAATGTGTGATGTGCTTGTAATTTGAATGGATTCTCTCTTAAAAACAAATCCATGCTGTGTATATGCTTGCGAACATTGATCACTAACCCGGTCAGTCGTTAGATTAATGACATTATATGTCTCCCACGGCTCTTCCTGATCATCATCCTGAAGGTTGTATTAGTTGTATTATAATTTATTGGCGCTAGAGGTTGCATTTATAAATAAAAAACAGCTCAAATGATGCCTAGGCAATACTTTTGAGTGTTAAATATGTAAGTAGTGGTTCAGTGTGAGATGTGTCTTTTTGGCAGGGAGCAAACTTCTTTTCCGCCAGACAGATTAGAGTATCTCCTGAATAAATGGGACAAATCTATTCTGAATTTATACATATCTGCTTATTGGAGAAAGAAAAGTAGAGTTCCATTATGGTTATCTTTTCATAACCTGGGGTCCTGCTGATGAGCATGAACAAATCTTTGGTTCATTTGCTATAATAAATATGAACTCATAAAAACCTCAAATTGTGCTTCCGTGATTTCTGTCACAAGATTGATGGTTATTTGAAACTGCACTCGACAAGTGGTACTCTCACTTGACGGTTTATGTGTGTTTTTCAATTTGAGTATTCTGATTGTCCCTTGAAATGGATTTACAGGTGACATGGGATGAGCCAGACTTTCTACAAAATGTGAAGTGTGTGAATCCATGGCTAGTTGAACTGGTCTCACACATGCCAGCCATAAATCTTGCACACTTTTCACCGCCCAGAAAAAAACCACGGATCCCTCAACACCCTGATTTACCCTTTGAAGGCCAATTTAACACTCCAATGGTCGCTCGAATCCCCCTTCGGTCCGGCGGCAGCCCCTTTTGCTGTTATTCTGACAGCGCTCCTGCAGGCATACAGGGAGCCAGGCATGCAAATTTTGGTCTACGAAATCTCCACCTTAACAAACTGCAGATGGGTCTATTCCATGCTGGGCTTCACCGGGTTGATCAAGCCACTCCAAACTCAAGGATATCCATGGGTGTTATTGTCGGCAATCCCACCGTTGATGATGACTTGTCTTGTTTGCTAACAATTGGTCATCCTTCTCAGAACCTGAAGAAATCATGTAATGGAAAGCCACCACAACTGGTGCTATTTGGGCAACCAATTCTCACCGAACAACAGGTATCTTTGAGCAAATCTGAGAATGGAGTCTCCCTTGGTGTGACCGGAAAAAGTTCAACAGGTGGGGATCTCAAAAAGACAACATATGCGTCTGGTGGTTCTGGATATGCAATAGATCGGAAGGGGTCTCCTGAAGCATTCCCAAGTTACAGGGATCATCGAGCTTCAGAGCTTGGTCTTGAGTCTGGGCATTGCAAGGTTTTTATGGAATCTGATGATGTCGGTCGCACTCTTGACCTCTCAGTCTTTGGCTCATATGAGGAACTATATGTGAGGCTTTCTGACATGTTTGGAATTGAAAAATTGAAGATGATGAACCATGTGTTTTACAAGGATGTGGCTGGTGCAGTTAAACACACCAGAGATGAACCATTCAGGTGAGGACCTCGATCACAGTTTTTGCAATTTTCAGGAAGACAATCTCTTTTACTTGTAGGATGTTATCCACTAATCCCCGCCTTTTTCTAGTGTAATTTTGCCTCATAATTTCTTTTAGCGAAATCTGGACGTTTTCAAATGTTTTATTTCATTTTCTTAGCAACCTTGCGTGTCATCATCTTCATGAAACAGATTATGTAGATCTTTGCCTGTTTCACGCACATCGTATGTTATTATATCTGAAATTAATGATGATCAATCAATTCCTATGCCTGTTGTAAAACATTTCATGCAGCTGAGCATGTTTCTTCATCTTACACCTGCGGTTTGCTAGATGTAACTTGTGGCAACTAGGTGTTCATGAGAACTTAACATGTGCTATTTCTTATGGGAAATAAGCTAAAAAAAATTATTATTTCATGTGTTGTAGTGACTTCATGAAAACAGCCAGGAGGCTGATGATATTGACAGATTCAGGAAGCCGATGACCTGGCAAGGTAGCAAAGGTCTCTTGCCAATCGTACAGTCGAACTAACAAGCCTCTTATTGAAGTATCAAGATCATAGGCACTTCTCTTATTGAAGTACCAAGATCATAGGCACTTCATTCTTGGATGTTATGTAACGTAAGTCAGTTTTCCGAATCAATTCCATGATCTTCTTTGCAATTGAAGACTAGATGGGATAATGTGTTGTTCTTATTAGGAATTGCTACTACAAGTGCTTGTGCTATTAAAAGCTCCAATATATTTTGTTTCTCATGCATTTGGGAAAAAAACTAATTACGTCACGGACAAAATTTTAAACAAGATGTTTGATATAATACTAATGTATGTCTGTGTCTTTTGGTTTGTTCATGCTTTGCACAGCATGTAAAGGGACGGTCGAAGGCTTAACAGTCCCATTTTAATTGAGTTTGGTGGCCTTTTTAGGCTTGTAAATAAAGATTGTGTCATGTGGACACTTATGAGAGATATTTGGTCTATAGTGGATCATTTTGACCTTTTGTTGTGTAATCGTTCAGAGCTTGTAAAGTCTGTTTGTAATTTGCATTGGCTATGAAGTGTTTTCTGAAATGATTGTTTGTGGATCTCGAGTGTAGCGCTTTTTCTAATCCGTTTTCTTTTTTTGTATGTCTTAAGGGACCATTGGAGGTTTTGGAGAGGCTGACCTTTGCGGACGGACACGTAAGGGTGTCGCACGACTTAGACAAAACCAGCTAAGTTCGTGACTGATGGTATCAGAGCGGGACAAGCACTCATAGAAACACTTGACATGTAAACGTGGGGGACCTAGTTGGGCTGTGTTGAGGGCAGTCAGCACGCGCGACCATTTGGGGAAAAACGGGCATGGAGATGTAGGGAAAATGAGTCGCTCGGAGGAGTGGGCATTTGAGATTAACATTCAGAGGAATGACCAACCCTTCACCGCAAGAGGTTTGGAAGAATGCGTAGCGCATAAAGGTTGGGATGGCAGAGTTTGAGCTACGGCTCAACGTTGACAACTATACTTGATGGTACTTAAGGTAAGCGAGGCGCTTGGTAAAGGATGAGATCATTTAAGGTAGAATGAGTTGTTCAGCGTCCGAAGGAGTTGTGTAAAGCTTACAAAGGTAAGGGGAATTGCTAACTCGAAGAATTCGATACTCATGCAAAGGCTTGTATGCGGACGATGGAATGTTCGCGGCCATCTTAAGGCGATCGAAACTCGGCGCCATGGAGCATTGAAACTTTCTCTTCGGCATGAGAAGGATACGTCCGTAGGAGGCTGAAGTGTGCAGCGAGTTCAGCATGTTGCTAGCCCTTGAGTGGTGCAACGGGGGCTGTATTGACGTGGAGTTATAATCTAGCAAGTGCGTTTGCAGAAGGCGGAACAATGCACAGTTTGTTCAGCAAGTCGGAGTAGTCCAAGGGGATGGTGGTCTCCGAAGCTTTCAGAGGGAAGGAAACGAAGAGAGATGTTGCTCCAACGGGATAGATACCCAAGAGGGATAAGTCTCGGCTCTCTAGAGGAAGAATCATGTGCAATGGACTGCACATGTTGAGGAGGAGTACCTCAAAAACAGCAACTCCACGAAGCTTAATGGACCGAGTGAGCGGCGAGGAGTCGTCGCATGATCTCACTTGAGAGAATGCATTGGTGGATGCATTACGAGATAAAGTGGGGGAGCGACCTAAGGCAACACAAATGAAGGCACACTTGGAGTCGATATAGAGATCAGACTCAATGGAGGGCTGACCCGTGGAATGGTGGGCGCGAGAGCCACCATCAACTCAATGCAAAACGAGGAGCGGAGCAACTAGGGTATAACTTGGCGAAGCACCCAAGTCGCATGAAGGGAGCCAGCATAGAAGATGAAACATGGAGCGGAGGCACAGAGCTTTCTTTGGACAGAGGTCAAGTACATAAACTCTTGCAGAGGCAAGAGAGGGATCATGTCGTTCCATGGGTCCTTCATTCTGATGGAGCAGGCTCATCCTGCATGGTGCTAAAGACAAAGGGAGCTTCGAGGCACATGCACTTTACCTCAGTGAAGCATTTGACGGGGGAACTGAGACGACTCAACTTGCGGAGGCAAAGTTGGGATCAGAAGGCCTTGGCACGGGGTAAGAGGATGCAGAGGCGGGTACTCTTGAAGAATATGTCGCAGTGTTGCCATTCAAGTTGCCATGAAGGAAGCGGTGCACAGCAGAGATTGTGCTAGTGGGGGGACAAAGGTCTAGGATTTAGACAATGGTGCACCATTTTCATCGAAGTCGGTGGACTTCGGGAGCTACTAGGCGACGGACTTTCCTAGAGCTGTGCTTCATCTAGATGTGACCCAAGAGCGGGTGGATGAAGGTCGATTGCCAAAAGAGCGAACACAATCAAAGGTGGATGAGGCCTTACGATACGTTGGTAGAGGCCACACATGGAAGGATCGCAATCTGAGTTCATCCCACAATGATCAGAATGCAATGAAAATGTCACCAGGAGGTGACATTGTGTAGCGGATCATGGTGGAATAGTTCGTGGCAATGCAATACACATAGATTGTAGTCTCGTAAGGGACTATATCATACGGAGGTATGATCGGGAGCTACTGGGAGCTCCACTTCGGTGAATAACACGATGATAAGAAGGGCTATGGATTCAAGGAGTGAAGGCCATGGTATCACAGAGGCGGGTCTTCCGTGCGTGCATTGAATTTTGCATCAAATTAAAGTCTTGGTCATCGACATATGAGGACCGTGTACTACTGAGAGAAAAGTTCGAATGCAAGTACCAGTGAGTCCCATGAGAGGGACTTGATCATGCAAAGGTATGATCGAAGCAACTGGAGAGTTGGACTACTCCAAAGCCCATATTCGCTTAAGGGAGCACGATAAGTCATAGGACAAGGTCAAGTAAGTGAACATTGCTACCAAGGAAGCTAAAGAGAATAGAATCGGTGTGAACCCTGCAACATGATGGCAAAGACCATGCATGGGAGTTGCAGTCTATCTTTCCATCGACCAAGGGGAACTGCTTGAAGAGCACAGAGATATTGAAGCAAAGGGTCGAAAGGGGCGAGGAAGCGACGACGAGTCTAGAGGGACTTAGCTACCCAAAAACTAAGCATCGGTTAGAATGGAGGTGGACTCGAATGAGTGCCATAGTGCCATAGAGGTAGATCTACCGATTGTGAAGAAAGAGATGCAGATGTGAGACGACGGATAGTAGGGCTATGGGCATGACAATGCCATGGTATCGTAAAGTCGGGACTTCCGCGAAGTCATCAATCTCTTGCTCTCATGGAGAGAGAGCGCTTGGTCGTGAAAGAGGCCGAGAAGGTGGAGCATGCGGAGGCAAACTCCAAGTACCAAGACAAGGCTGAAGGGCAGAGGCCAAGGAACTTCGTAAGACTGGTGTCAATGAGCTTCTCATCAAAATAACCGAAAGTGAAGGACTTCGAGTCATGCAATAGTGCACGACCAAGGAACGAAGCAGACAGTACGTGATGATGTACCTTTGCTACTCAGTGGAGTAGGTGACAGGGTTGATGGAGAAGATGATACAATCATAGAGGCAACCAAAACTATTAGAGACTTACTCCAAGTTGGGGTGAAAAGTTCCTGCATTCCAGAAGTTCGATGACATTGAGAAGGTGAATCACAGTAGCTAACTCAACGCAAGGAGTGCAAACACTTCAAGTGCTTTAGAAGTGTAAGCAAAGAGCGGGCGAAGGCCAATAATCAGCTTGATGCATGAAGTACAACCCTCGAGGAGGCGGGCGAAGTCAAGAGGCCAACCCCACACTAGAGTCAGAGTAATTGGCGAGTTGAAGTAGCATAGCGGATCAAAAGTTCGACTACTCAACAACAGTAGCAGAAAGCAGCTAGGAGCCAAGAGGCGCATTGCAGCTAGAGCAGAAGATTGAAGACTCAGCAAAGGTGAGGAGTTGCAGTGTCGACAAAGGTTTCGACGAGGACGTCGAAGGAATAAGTGGGGGAGAATGTCACGGAAAAAATTCTAAATATGATGTTTGATGTAATGCTTATGTATGTCCGTGTCTTTTGGTTTGTTCATGCTTTGCACAACATGTAGAGGAACGGTTGAAAGCTTAACAACCACCACATTTTAGTCTCCAGTTACCACCACTGCCATATATCCAACTCATGTTGAAGCTTGAAGTTGCCGACTCTGATGGCTTTATCCAACGAATTTTGCTCATCGTTTCATAGATTTTGCCTGATGCAACAGAGAAGTAGTGTTCGACCGAAACAGTGTATGCTCATCTCTCCCGGTAGACAACTTTAATGCTGCGCGAAAAAAAGGATCTGCTGAAAGAAATGGAGCAACAGCCTGTAGAAGAAAACCTTTCTTCTTCCTCGTCCGATGCAAACCGCATCGTAAGTTGTTTGTAAAAATGGGTCCTTTTACTGGAATTTAAGTTTGCATTGAAAATAGAAGCTGCTCCCCTCCGTCCATTTGTACTCAAGCATGGATTTGAGTCAATTTGTGCTGATAGCCGATTTGAGTTGGCTCAGTAACTCTGAAATGTACCGTATCGGCAATCCTTTATGGTGGTGGTGTTGATTTCGGGATCAAAATATCGTTGCCAAATATGTAGCTTTGTGTTTATTTTGTACTACCATTCTCACCAAGTTTGGTGTTTAACAAGCTGTGAAAAGAAATGTTGCTTCACAAGAAACTTGGGAGCACTTTACTTTTGTTATTTGTTGCCGGAAACAAAATTCATGCACTTTAATTTTCGATCTCGAATCGTGTGGGGAATTCTACTGTATATATTCATATGCCTGAGACTACAAACTTGGATCATAATCATCCAATTATATTTGATGATAAAAGTCAAGATATAATCTGATACCCTGATATTGTATTCTTCTTCATCGTCGTCATTAAAATCCAAGTGGGATCGCAAAGGATCAATCATCTGTCTTTCACATTTAAGTTAATTTAATTTATTTCTCATGTTAATCCTAATTTCACGATTGATTAAATAATCTTTTAAAATAAATAATAAAAAATTAAATAATCTTTTAGTATATTAGATGATAAAAAAGTGTTTTTTTTATGTAGCTTGATTGGTTCATGCAAGTTATCTAAAAATCAATCGGGTCGATCAATTCAATTCATTCTCTAGCTTTCAAATACATCCAATCAATGGCTAATGATCCGATTCTTTGCCCTCGACTGTCCTATCTCATGTTGGGCACACGTATCGGTTTCATGTCACGTAAATCTAAGGAATAATACTATCGGTAACTATAAACATCAAGGAGTCATACCCAAATC